AAAGTCCAAAGCAAAGATAGAATGTTATCATGAACACAGAAGAATGAATGTCAGATTTGTTTCTGGAGTGTTGTAGGACTAATCTAAAGCCATGTCTCCTTACTAACCCATCAGAACTCCTAGTACATGAGACAGAATTACATGCACAATCAAGTCTTGATCTACAGCATATAGAATTGTAGTCTATTAAGCTGGGAGGAACCTCTCAGAACATCTTGTCCAACATCCTCATATTATGACAGCTGAGTGCCAAGGACTGAGGAGTGGCTTAGCGAAAGTTGTGGGGCATGCTGAGGCCAGATACTGTTTGAGAGATTTTAGAAAAGTTTGAAGCATGAGACAAGACAGACCATTCATATGGGAAAACCACTGGAAACAGCTTGGGTGGCACTGAAAGTTGAGTGGGGTGGGGATCTCAAAATTATCAGGGCAAGTGAACAATTCTACACTGGTTGATGGAGACACAGATATGGCCCCCCTTCTCATCTCTGGGGGAGGGGGGGGTCATTAAGGGAATACTCTAGAACAGTGGTTGCCAACTGTCTGGAGAAAGCTATCTCCCCAGCTCTTGTCCTTATGCAGACAATTCAATTCTTGTCTGCACCTATACCACCATCTTGACCAGAAGTCCTGACCCTCCTGAACTTTAAGAGAACAAATGTGTGCTGTTTTAGGACATCAAATTTGTGGTAATTTGTTATAGTAGCAAGAGGAAACTAACACAATTATCGGCTAAAGAATCACCGACAGTGGATCTTCCAGTTCAGTGTGAAAAGTAATGGAATACTCTAGAACAGTGGTTGCCAACCTTTAAGACCTGATGAACCACCCGTTGTCTGTAGACCACCGGTTGTTTGTGGATCAACTTCTGGAAGTCAGCCTGTGTTTTTCTTGCAGTGCCTGCCTCCCCCAGTTCCCTTTCTAGATAGAAGGGAGTCTGTTTCCTTGTGCTCTGGTTTATGGTTGGTGACCGCTGCTCTAGAAGATGAGATAAATTTCCCCCCAGTTCAAACCCAGGGTGAAGTAGACATATTCCAAGGTGATGGACTATAATGAGGTGAGACAATCTCAAGAAGAGGGTCTGCTTCAGCAGCTAAGAATGAGGGCTGAGGCTTAACCAAGGTTACAAAACCCATCAGCCAGGTCAAGGGTAAGCCTGACTCTTCTTGACTCCTGTGGCCCTCTGAGGGTGGGAAGGACCTTGGATTCCTATCTGGAAGATTCTGTCCTCTCATTTGTCAGCTGTGACCTGTCTTTGACTTTACTATTAGAGAGGGGGCAGGGTTAGGGGGTCTCCCTCACACTGGAATCTTTTTCCCCATGCCTCCCTGACCCTGAACAAATTGGGAGGAAGGAACTCAGTTCCACAGAGGCTGAATCACCAAGGAAGGCTTATAAGACCTGAATACTCTAATGAAGAAGTACTTCACCCAGAAATTATAAACAAAAGCACAGAGTCCTAGTGGTGGGGCAATGTGGGACGTCACCTGTTGCACAATATAAGATTTTGTGTTTCCTTTTTCTCTTTTCATAAAACTTCCTCTTCTTATCCTGAGCCAAGGGACCTTGTATGTCCTTACTTGACTTTTCAGTTGACGTTTCTCTAAGTTTCCAGGAGGGACCAGAGCTAGAACAGGACATGGAACAGAGTCTATTGCTTGTGGATCAGCTTTGGGCCTGTGCTTTTCTTGCAGTGTCTGCCTTCCCCAGTTCCCTTTCTAGATAGAAGGGAGTCTGTTTCCTCATGCTCTGGTTTATGCAAACTTTCTGTCCTCTCCCTATCTTACCCCCACCTAGAATGTTCTGTAATGTTCCCATGACAGGGCAATTTCCTCTCAGGAGGCCAGGAGCTGAGTTAGCATGCAAATTGAGCTGTAGATGGTGAAAGGAATCACAGTTCTTTCTGATGACTGAGGCCAGCTGGCCACATGACTGTTCTGAGCTGCTTTTTTATACTCACCCTTCACAGAGCCATGGGACTTGTCCTCTCTCAATTTTCTTGTTGTCTCCACCTGTTCTCCCTTCTTAATGCCTGTCATCTTGGGTTCCACTAAATCTAAGCAAACAGAAAATTGGAAAAGGTGGAGAAATAGACAAAACTGTGACTTCATTTTTCTACTTTTTAAATAGTGTGGATGAAAAAGAGTCCACATACTAAACCTGACAAGTGCCATGACGGACTTTGTAAATTCAGAGACCCAAGTAATCACATAGGATGGTCTGAACATTAAAATTCCTAATTAAAAGTGGGTCATGGCTGATAGTCACGTTCTAGACCTGTAGCTTCCTTGACAAAGGTTAATCTTTAATTGAGCCAGTCTATTGTATTTGAATAACTAAGATAACATACCTTTGAAATAACGGAGTAATTTTCTTTTCCATATTCCTCAAAGGCACAATTGCACAACCAATGGCACCAGAGCTTGAGACCACATTGTTATCTTGTTGCCTAAATACCATCTCTATGTGCAGTAGGTGTTAACTATTCTGTACCGACCAATGTAGCAGATGTTCTCTCTGTTTTAATTTTTATCCAATTTAAGAGATTTCTCCACTTTGCTTTCTCTCACTCCCTTATCTACCACCAATAAAGTTTATGTAACCCTCCTTATATCGCCTCCTTTTATTCTAATATATAAAATAAACTGCAAAACTGCTATTTTTTGAGAGCATTTTCTCAGTCTGTTGCTATTCTGTTTACTGACAATTGTTGTCAGTTTGGCTCAGTAAATTTATTAAAATTCTCAGCAAGTGTAGACATTTACTACAGTGTAATTGTTTCATTTAGGTTTTGCAGACTAAGGACATGTAGGGATGCCCAATGTCTAGACTCAGTCTTCTTCCTTAAGGTTTTTCTTTTTCTTTTTATTGTGTTAAAACATACATAACAAAATTTACCATCATAACCATTTTTAATCATAGTTCAGTAGTATTAAACATATTTACATTGTTGTGCAGCAGTCACCACCACCTATCCCCATAACTCTTTTATCTTGTAATTCTGAAACTCTATAACTGTTAAACACTAATTCCTCATTCTCTCCTCCCTTCCAGCTCCTAGCAACCAGTTTTATACAATTTGTGATTGTCACTAGAGCACTAGAAATCAACTATCCATGGAGATATTTTGTTTAGTTTTTCACAAAGAAATAAAGGTTTTATCAGGTAGGCCAAGTGTTCCTGACTTCCATATGTGTGAAAGCATCTGGGGATCTTTTTTGAACTCCACCACTGGAAGTTTCCCATTGGTGGGTCTGAGATGGAATTAGTGTTTGCAAAGCATGGACTTCTTCTGAATTTCAGTCCCTTGAGTCTCAGTCCCATTGACAAGGGAGTGATCCCACAAGCTTGTGAGGATTCAATGAGATGACAGGTGTGAAGTACAGGCATAGGTCATAAAGGTCAAGTGTCATATTATTGAAGGGAGGGCCCTCCTTAGCAACCTTGCATGCTTCAGCAAAACAATTATAGGCCATAATTACCCTTTGCTTCATAGTGGAAACTCCAAGTGCTAGAGCAGCAAACATCACATTATGTTGTCTTACATAATTTCCGCTAATAAAATTTCTTTTCATAACTGTGGTGAAAGTTCTTTGCCCCTCCCTCCATTCCCAAGGGGGAGTATGGGAATATACAGTTTGAAATATCCCATTAAAAAATAAACTTGAGGAACAAGATTATAAAAGCATCAGGTCAGTGTGTGAGAAACTTAGAAAAAATACATAGTAAACACATGGAAAAATGGGGGGGGGGGAGAACTTTTGAAGATTATGTTAACTAAGTAATTGTAGCCATGTCTAAGTCACTTGAAGAGAGGGATTAGGGAGTCCCCCTTGCCAGCAGTGCTATGGAGGGTTCTTCTGCAAGTTTTTAGGGCTGTCTACTTTGATCCCACACACTCCCACGGCTGTGCTACTCAGTAATCTGACATTGGGCCAGCCGCCTTGGATTTGGATTTGGATTTGGGCTTGCTCTTTGTTGTACTCTGTGCTGCTTTGGGCCATTGATCTCCACCCTATACTAAACTACTATGTCCTCTTCAGATACTCTGGTTTATCCTTCAGACTGAGGGATGTGGGTGCTTGTATCCTTTCAGCTTGATTCTGAGATGCTGGGTGTGAGCTAACTACCTGGGGTGGCCAGTCTGAGCCCTCCTCTCTTGACTTGCTTAGTGTTTCTCTGCTTATCCAGGCCTCCCTATAAGTATTCATGAGGTGCTTGTCCCAGATCTGACCACCAAGATGAAACAGGATTTCTCTTCATTCCCACCGTCATTAGAGTTTTACCTCTACACCCCCTTCTCTGAAATTCTAAAATTGGGATAGAAAGAGGGCAGGCTTCTTATTCAGGACCCTGTGCAACATTTTGTGTTTTTTCCCCTGTAATTCAGCTTATTGTAGCCCTCTCTCTAGAAACCTTTCAGTGTGGAGCAGTGTAGGCTCAGAGACCCCCAACCATCAAGAACGGACTATGTCTCTTAACGCCCAAGGGCCTTGTCAACTTGTGATCTTTGAACATTCATCTCCTTGGATGAGTGACATTAGTGATAGGTGGGTAATGTGACCTCCTTAGGAGTCTCAGTCCTGGGATGGCTCCAAAACACCACATATTCACCATCCCCCCAGGAGCACATTGAATCCTCTGGGAACTGAACCTCCAGGAGAAACCAGACGGGACAACACCTAGCTCTTCCTCTGAAATTCTTAATTACACAGAGAAAATTATTGTCTTTGGCCATTGCTCCTAAAGACACCAGGAAACCAATGCCAAACTGTGATGTAGCAATGAACAAAGGGATAGAAGGTGTTCCCAAACTTTCCTGTTTGGGATTTTCATATTTGAGAAAGCATACCCTAATTAGAGAGAAACCAGTTATTAACTAGAATAGAGGATCATGTCATACTCTGCCTGTTTTACTGCCCCACCCCACATTCCTTTCTGGTACCACTGAGGGTATAAATTGTGGCTGGGCTCTGTGTACATTTACATCACAAGCCAAAATGAAGACATGCACAGTCTTTGTTCTGGTGGCTTTCATCACCGTGGGGCTGGAGATGGCCTGCGCTCAGACACCTCTTCGCCAAGGTGAGGGTGCTGAGGGGTTTCCTGCCTGACATCAGAGAGGGCTCAGAGCCTGGCTTCAGGCCTGAGGATTATTTGGCATAAAAGCAGGCAGTGTGTTCACTGCAGAAATGAGATTTTTGAATTGATCAGATACACATTCTCTAACTTTCAAGAGTGATCACCCTGCATTTCGATTCTTCTTATCTGATCAGATTGGGTCTGATTAGAAGTTGGGTTTTCTCTAGATGTGCCCTGGATGTGGGACTCCAACAGGAGTGACTTCCGGATGAACATGGTGTGTGTGTGAAGTGGGAAGATGGCTGACTGTGATCAGAGATTTTTCTAATATCTTATATGGTGGAAAGAAGAGGGTTATGACAAGTGCAGGTTTCTTGTGTGCTGGTTTCTTGTGCAGCCTTTGAAGCAGGGATAACATTCTTCTAAGAGCCTGAATGTGAAAATGGGGACTCTAGAGTAAAAGTGGAGCTGCTGAAGCTGAGGGACGGGTCCAGGAACATGAAGGAAGAAAGGGAAGAGGTGGGAGTCCTACTAGTGGCAAGGCCATCTGACCTCTAACACCAATTCTCATGACTGTATGGTGACCGTTCCAGATTGCACAAAAACCATTGTATGTTTCAGAGCAACAAAGACCTGGAGTCTGCCCCCAGGTGCCCAAAGGAACCTTTGGGATTTGTGTTGAAAAATGCTCAGGAGATGCATCATGTCCCAAGGGAATGAAATGCTGCAGCAATGGATGTGGGCATATCTGCAAAGCTGCTCTCCCTCAAGTGAGTATAAATCAGTCAAGAGCTGTCCAGTGTACAATAACTTCCTAGTGGACTTTGCTGGGGCAGATGGGTGCTCACGCGTCCACTGCATGCAGGAGTCTGGGTAACTCCAAGAGAAAGGGTCTGGAAATAAATGGCAGAAGGACACCTGGCTGCATTATCCAAGACCCTCTCCTTGAATTGAAGCCCTATCCCTATCCTTGAGTGACTCTCAGTGGAGACAAGTAACCATGATCCTAGGTTCTCAGGTCATTATTATCCCAAGATTTCTCACCCTCTTTCTCCTGCCTACCAAGGGGGCTTCACTCTTCCTGGAAAATGAATGATGGTGGGAAGAGGGGGAAAGGAAAGGGAACACCAATTATTGAGTATCTTCTATGTTTGTCAGGCATTGTGCTGAAGCTGAGATAAAAAGATAAACACAACCAGGTGAGGGAGACAGAAATAGGTAAATACTTACAACTGTAACCATGGCTTTGTACCAGTTTCTACTAAGGTCTGTGGGCGCAAAGGGGAAGTTACTGGCTTTGCCTGGGAGGGTGGATCAGTGGGTGTTGAGAAGGTTGTTGAAGAGTAGAGAACATATAAGGACGTGCTTAAAGGAGGCATAAAGTTTGCTGGAGGAAGGAAGGGAAGTTCAGATGGTGGGAGAAGTGTGAGAGATGGGAAAGGGACTGGTAGAAGTTGTAGCATTTCAGGGGCACACATCTCAGCATCTCAGTGGAAGGTCATCTAAGCCAGGGTCCAAAGAAGAGGTGCCTGTCAGCTTGGTGGACTGCTCGGGGTTTTTGAACAAAGGAAATGTCATGATCAAATTTGTATTTTAGAAGGGCGGCTCTGGTGGCCAAGTGAAAGCAGGACAAGTCCTTCATTAAGCGTGCCTGGAGACCAGCCCCAGAAGATTTCTCATGAATCTGATGCTTGGCTATCAAGACTCTTCCACAAACCATTCCTGGCTATTCTCTATCCCTGGACTTGCAGCCCTAGAAGATAAAGATCTAAAGTGGTGGAGTGACCACTTCTAAAGAGCTTATGTCCAAAATAAACCTTATCTGTGCACGATTCAGGCCGTGTCTTTCTTCCCACTTAGGCATTCTCGTGGACCCTCAGTAGATGAGCAGGACCATGTGTGCCCTGCACTGAGCCCATGAATGCAAGGCACTCATGAAAGACCAAAGGCAAGGTCCTCCCAGCTAGTGTCTTTCCTCCTTCCATGGCCATGTCTCTAAACAGGGCAAAGGGCATAATATTTTCTCAATCATTCTGTGAATAAAAATGACATTCTAGCACGTAGCGAGCCTTTTGGAGCAGCCTTTATAAGGGAAAGACTCAAGAGCAGGAGCAAAAGCAAGTGTGGGAATACCCTATTCTAAGGAAGCATACTGACATCTAGCAGGACTGGATGCCCAACTCCAGGAGAGCAACCCCATCCCTTGGGATGTGGGACTTTGAGTGGCAAAGACTGGGAGTGCCAGCTCCTGTCTTGGAGTGACTAGGAGTTAGAATACAGTTAGGATATAGGCTCTGTGGGTGGAGTCTTTGATTCAGAGTTCTCCTGAGGCAGAGAGGATAAACCTAGGTCTCCCAAAGAAGCCTTGACAAAAACTATGGTCTGAGCTGACCGCTACAAGCTCAATCTCTCAGCGCTCTCTGTGTGCTTTCCAACCTTGATTCCCCCCACTTAGCCTGCCGAGTTTGGACTCCCTTATCAACTTGTCCCTGTCCATCACACTGCTGTTACTTCTCATATAGCACTTCTTATAACCCCAGTGGCCCATGGCCTCACCAGTCTGTACATTGGAATGAGCATATTAGCATCAATATCATCTTTTACTGGCTGGTCATCTACATCCCAAACCTCAGCATGCTTTATTAGTCACTCTTGGTCACTTATGGGGGTTCACAGACCCCTCTAACATGCTCTCAAACAAGTTCATCTGTTGTCTGCCATTCTGAATGCCAAAGATTCTTAAGGATGGCATCCTACAACTTCCACTCAAATTTCTGCCCTTTAAATTCTTAAGTTGTTTGTGCTCTTTTGTGAGCTTCTCATTTTATTCTCCACCTGCATTCCAACCCCCTTTAATATTTTGGAGAAAACTCATTTCTCCCTATGAAAATTGACAAGGGCCAGAAAGTCTCACCCTGCTTCCTATCAGGTAGGGTTTGGAATTAGGAGTGACACTTAAGACTTAGGAATTGTCAAAACCAATTCACAACAGCAGAGGTGCCAGTGACAGCATCCTAACCAGATTTGCCGCGGGCTGGACTTGGCTATGTCCTCTTCTACATGCTATATGTAGGTTCTTGATATTTTTCCCAAGCCTGGTTCACCAGTCTTCCCTACTGTTTCTGTGCACTGTGTAATATTGTCTTTTCAAAATCCCTGCTCTCTCAAGTTGGATCGAATTGGCTTTTTTGTTTGCATCCAAGAACATTAACTTGTACAGAAATTGGTGTCAGGAGTGGACACAAGCCAAAAATACTCAGGGAGATGGCAGGAGTCTGGGTTTTAGGAACTGGTCTAGTAAGAAGCCCCCTGGTTCGCATGCCTATGCTCTCTTATTCACATGAGAGGCCCCATCTCCTTGAAAACTTGGATGGTCTCTGTTTAGGGGAGCCACCTCCAGAGTTGGCAGAGCTACAAACGGAACCCTGGGTTGCTCACAGCCTGTGTTTCTTTACATGTGACCTCTGGCTAGGCACCCCTCACCCTGTGGCCATTTGCTCTAATGGGCTCCTCCCTTCCCCCTACACCTCCTCTCCTTCCTCCAGTGGACAGGGGTCCTGTCATTGCACCTGTGTCTCTGGGTGGCTGCTGGGTACTGCCTGGTACAAGTTCCTAATGCTACCCCACCTCTGTGGCAGCATTTCTCATCCCTGGAGACCCCATTCAGTGCTCCCCTGCAGCTCCAGGGACCTGCTAAGTCTGGGCCCAAGCCTGTCACTAGTCCCACAAGTCCTGCTTGCAGCTCCAGGATCCTCAAAGCAGGAGAATTGACTCCTTAGAATGGTGCAGACACCAGGTGAGTACTCTGCCCCATCTCAGGTAATCATGTGGCCCCGCCTCCTAGTACACATGCCCATTAATGCTTGGTCACGTGGCCCCGCCCCCTTATTCATGTGCGCACTTCTGCTTAATCAAACCAGTCTGGGAGGGGCCGATGGGTTGACCCCTTATACAGAGGGGTGCAGACACCAGGTGGGCACTCCCCCTTGCTCCCCTCTCCCGCCCCTCAGAAAAGCAAGTCTGTGCTGACATTCAGCTCCTGGAGGGCTTGGCCTACGCAATGCAGCCACCAAAGGGGACCCATCTGCAGAGTGGCAGGGGGAACAGGCCTCCCAGGGCAGCGGGATGCCCACCTGACCCCAAAGCCATTCTTCAGCCTCCCACTTACCCCTTCTGAAGGGTGACCAGGTGTGGTTCCCCCCAGCCCAGCTGCCTGCCCTGGGAGGCGCAGAGGATGTCATCCTCCGGTGGCCCATTCCTGTTACTACAGAAGGTAAGAGTCCTCCCTGCCGCCCAGCCCCGCACACCATTCCCATTTCACAGGCCAGAACCAGGCCTCAGCACTTCCCTCAGACGGGAAGGAGCAGAGCTAGATTGGTAATAAGAATGGTCTCTGCAGCTGATTGTGTGTGGTCCCCATTTTCTCGAGCCCAGAAGGTTCCAGGGACCTCTATGCATTTGTAACTGTGGCTATGTCACTGTATTTCCCTCCTGTCCGCCTGCCTCGTATCCTGAACACTGCAGGCTCAAGTTGGTCCACCTTCTCTCCTCAGTCCGCACCTCCAGTCAACTTGATTCAACGGGCTCCCCTCAGGTTCAGTGTGCCTCTTGCCTCAATTCCTGCTGTGCCCACATCTACTTTCACTGTTAAATTAAGGTTTATTTCTGATACTGTATTTCATGTTTTTTATTTACTATATTTTTATTGCTTTTTTTGTTTTTCTTTATCATTTCCATTAGCTAGATTAAGTTTTCTTCTGCTGATTTGAAAGTCATAATTCTCTTTATTCTTCTAGAATTTACCCACGTGGATTTTTAAGGCATGTTAATATTTTCACCTTTTCCAGAACAAGGAAATTACTTTAGTGTGCCCTTATTTCTCTTTGGACATGCACTCTGCAACCCCATCACACTTGGTAGCCAAATAGATATGTCATATAGAATTTTAGTTCTTGATTTCATGTTTGTATTTTTAAAAAGTTGTTTATTTTTGTAATAGTCAAATGTATCAGGTTATAAACCCACCCTTACTTCCTATGTATTTGTATCCTCCTGGTCCCCTCCCCCTTTCTGCTGGAATGTTTTCCCCAAGAGTGTTTTCAAAAAAGGTCTTTTTGGCTTTGGATGCCTGAAGATATCTTTGTTTTGTACTTATATTTAAACTATAGTTTACCTATATATAGCATTCTAGGTTTAAATGTTTTCTTTAACACTTAGACTTTTTCTTCATTATCTTTCCGGTTAGAAATGCTGCTGAGAACTCTGAAATTAACCTGATTCATTTATAAGCAGTCTTGTCTTTCTCTCTGAAACTTATAAAATTTGCTATTTTAAAATTGTGGTTATATTTCTTTGTATGTGTTCATGTGTGACATTCATTCACTTATTCACTCATTCATTCTACTGACACTTTATCAGCCTTCAAACTAGGATTTTTTCCCCCTTGCAGCCCCATGGCCCCACTGGCTCAAGCATAGCTATAGGGAGTGGGGACAAATCCAGGTTATAGTCCCCTCATCAGGTGGATCTCCATCTCCTCTGCCAACCACAGACTGTTACTGAGCTGAATTTTCTACTCCAGTCTCGTCTTCCCCTCAGGGTGAGTTTGTCCAAGACTGTTCCTCACTCTTTCAAGGCTCCAGGACACTGGAAGAGCCACTTGACTGGTCCTCCAGGCTCCTCCAGTGCTCTCCTGTGAGTTGGTTTACAGGAACCGGGTGGGGACAGCTTGCCAGTAAGTCTGCTGTACTCATGTCCAAGGCAGAGGTGGAGGAACTGGCTTTCCCCTGTCTTTAGCCAGGATCTCACAGGACTTCTGAGTCCTGGGAAGAGAGAGGCAGTCTCTCATTGCTGTCCAGACATGTGTGACCACATGTGAGCAGGTGAGGACTAGTGGAAACATGGCACCATCTTGGCCACATGCGCACTGACAGCAGGGTAGTGATAGGCCTCCAGGTTTAAGAGGCTTTGCCGAGAGCAGACGGTTCCACAGAAGCCAAATGAGAAGGACCTGTGAGAAAATACTAGTATGTGAGCAAGACTAATCCATTGTAAGTATACAATTCAGAGATTTTTTAATAAACGTGTTCAGCAGGGCAACCATTGCCATATTTCAGTGTTCCACATTTCCATTACCCCTAAAAGTTTCTCTGCCCATTTACAGTTCACCTTGCTTCCACCTCCAGCTCTAAGCAACCACTTACTTGAACTTTCTCTTTATAAACTTGCTTTTTCTAAACATTTAAGCATGTATTCTTTGGTTACTAAATAATATTCCATTTTATGGATATCATTGGCTGCTTTTTATTTACCAAGCATAGAAAAGATTCTATTTGCATTATCCTTATGTGCTTATTCCTCTGAAACTATCCTATTAAATACATTAAATATTTTGTACCGTAGTTATATGTATTACTTATAAATTTAATAACTTTTTGGTTATCTTGTAGTCTTCTGGCAAACCTTGCTGTACATCTGGCATACCCCAATTGTGTAGGTAAATTATAGCAATATAGTGCATAGCCAGCAGATGGAGACAGAGAACACCAAATATTCAGACTCACGTTTTTACCTATGCTGTTTCTGTCTCAGGATATTAGTTTCATTCATTGTAGCTTTGGTTCTCAAACCTGACTATGCATTGTA